AAGAGTGTATGGGTGTTTCCCAGTGATGAGTTGCAGCTGGAAGGGCATCCGCCACGTAAAACATTTGCTGGATAAGTTGGCAGTTCATTCAGCTGTGGCGACCTGTGATTAATAAAGGGACTAAGCCAAAAAGAAAATGAATGAATAAATGAATGAATGATCCGAACTTTCCATAACTATATTTGTTGCTTTCATCTTTTTTGTTTGATTTAGTTTGATTTTATTTTAAGTTACTCTCACATTCTGAATGCATCTCTTGTGTGCATAATGCAGACATTTATGTCTGATTCTGGCTCAAATCAGTAGGTCAATATTCCAAAAATATTCCTAGAAATACTCTTGGGGAGTGCACAAATTGATATGGGACCGCCTTGGCTGATAGAGAAAGCTTGTCGGACAGTGAGAAGGTTACAGGGTCTGCAGTGCTAATATTTGTAATGGTTAGACGGAAAAAATAATTGTGGTGTCTAAAATATAACACTCTAGACATTTTCATGAATTAACCTCCTGTTTGTTAAACTCTTGTAATAAAAAATAATCCTAACATTTGCGTGTGTGTTCATGCTGATAATTGGGAAAATAGCAAAATAGCGAAATTTATAAACTGAAAAATAACAAAGCTTTAATAGCCTATATCTTTTGACATACATGCGGTCATTGTACTATAAATCTTTTTTATTGTAAGTTATACTTATAGCTTTCTTGTTGATCTACAAAAAAAACAGCTCATACTGAAGCGAATCTGCCTAATCAACAGGTTGTAAAATATGAGACTTAATTTGGAATAGTTAAAGGTCTACATCACCCTCGATTTAGCTCTGTGCAAAGATCTGCACATCCAGTAGATAAATAACAAGAGAGGCAAACGAAGGTCAATGCAGAAACCGAATTATAAAGATGGCCCTGAAGACAACAAGATGCATTAAACTGCTATTTTTAATCAAAGATCACATTAGTAAAAGCTTGGTCCTTCGTTCACACTCATTTTACCAAAAAATTGTTTACGAGATTTTCAGAAAGATTAAAACTAAAAGAAGATGATGTGCCAACTGCTTTTGTCCCATTGGATCTAAGTGTGAGTGGCTGCTTTCATTACATGTTCACTATTGCTAAGATAGCTTGAAGTGTACTGATTGAGTATGTAAATCTTTTAGGCTGTCAAACATGTAGACGTTTAAAACTCTGTCACATTTTAAGACCTTAAAACTTAGGGCCAAAAATCTTAGAAGCAAAGCTGTGACATTTTTTAAAATATGCAAACCTTTAGCCAATCAAACGAACAGGCCTTTATTTCTTAGCCTAGCCTGTTTATACTATGTGTGGTAAAACAGGACAGAAATGAGCCTATTCTGCTGAATTGTGTTGTTTCTGATGTGAAAAAGTCTCGATAACGGCATAAGTATACCTCAGAGAACAGTACAACTAATAAAAAAGTAGTTCAGGAACCCTTTTGCTATATTTAGATATAAACACACCCTCGCATGGATTTGTTTTTGCTTGTAATTTGTTTTATAGGGCCATTCTAACTGCTTTTTAATAGCTTCACCATGCAGTGAATGCTATTGAACTCCTACAGCATGAATGGCACACTCAATAACGTCAGCTTGCACATCATTAAAACAAATTTATGTTATTATAGATGATAAATACCACACACCCCACTTGTTATTAAGACTATCACCATAATCCTCTGAGAATATCTCAGTATGTGGGTTAGGAAAAAAAGGAGAGTGAATAAATAATGACAATTTGCATTTTTTGGGGAAGAGTTTTCTTATTTAAGGATCTCATCTTCCCAGTGGATTAATTCGAACACGCATCCAGCTGTTTCTATGAGATCTGATTGACTGTTAACTCTCCTAACTGTGACAATCTCATTAAAACTTGTGTAAAAAGCTTGAATTGAAGTGTACAAAGCTCCATCTGCCAGGCTAAAGGCTTAAAACTGTAATTGATCTGACTGAGTTTAATATGCTATTGATTTGTTAAAGAAATATGTGAAATCATGTTCAAAGCAAATCCATGTCAGTGCATAAATTAAATCAAAACACACAGACTTCTTACAGACCAACAATCCATTGTTATTCCTAACATGAATTAATGACTAATTCAATTACTGCAGAAACAATATGAGTGGAACGTTTGCCTGAAAATAATTGTGAATTTCAGCAAGAGTTGCATCAACTTTGAGTCTTTTAAAACCCTTTTAATGAAGCTTAGTTTAATTAATGTTTTCAGAACAATTGAAATGACTATTGTCATTTAATTATCATTTCTATGAAAATTACGTGTTTGTAATCTGTATATTGAGTGTTACACAATCACGCATACAACTGCAGCACTAACTGCTACAATAATGTAATGTAATGCAGCATATACACTACAGTACCTGACCAAAGTCTTGTCGTCGACCCCAGATTTAAAAGCAAAATATAATCATTTCACTTCAAGTCGATCATTTAGAAAAGTGGCAGATGAATCATTGAACTGCATCCCAATCATCACAAACACTGCAGAAGACCTATTGGAATTCGTATGGACCCAAGATTCTCATCAGACACGTTTGGTGAAAGAAAAATCGTGGTGTGGGGTTACATTTGGTATGGGGATGTGCGAGAGATCTGCAGAGTGGACATTTGACACAAGACATTTGTGCTGCCCATTACATTACAGACCACAGGAGAGGGTAAATTCTTCAGCAGGATAGCACTGCTCTTCATACTTCAGCCTCCACATCAAAGTTCCTGAAAGCAAAGAAGGTCAAGGAGCTCCAGGATTGGCAAACCCAGTCACCAGACATGAACATTATTGAGCATGTCTGGGGTAAGATGGAGGAGGCATTCAAGATGAATCCAAAGAATCTTGATGAAATCTGAAAGTCCTGCAACAACACTTTCTTTGCAATTCCAGATGACTTTATTAATCATTTATGTAAGTCATTGCAGAGATGTATGGATAAAATCCTCCAAGCTCATGGGAGTCTTACACAATATTAATTAATTTTTCCACTGCACCATGACTTTATATTCTATACTGTACATCATTTCCGTGACAAGTGACAAGACTTTTGTCAAAACAAAGTCAGACCATACTGCATTATCATATTTTATTTTGGTAAAATTAGGTTTTTGCCTTTCATAAAAGCCACTTCTAAAACTAAATGATCAACTACAAGTTAAGTTATTACTTGTTGTTCCTAAAACCTGGATAGGCAACAAGACATCTGCCAGATAGTGTATATATATATATAGTGTATATGAGTCAATTTGCAACTGGTAATGAAGACCATGGTTGGGTAGGATGGGTTCTATTTGGTTAGCAGGGAGAGACCATTATTAAAAAGTGGAGTTTTGGGGGGCAATGCAGGGCCTTCCATAACTTTGTGGGGCCCTACCCAACCATAGTAGTCAAGCGCTGCTACATAACTACAACGTACTTGCATTCAAAAATAAATTCAATGTATTTATGTACTGGTGTCCATAATGTATTGCATGTAACATGGAACACTTCTCATGCTTTTGAAGTGGGATACGGGTAGCGTTAGAGACAGGTTTGATGATTTGGGTATGTTTAAGGGTGGCTTAAGGTGTGAGTAATGGACAACAGTTTAATAAGAAATTAAGTACAGATTTAATTACAGATTTATTTAAATTTCATTATATGGAGGTATTTAATCAAGCATAAGTACAATGTAAACTTGTGTATTTATTCTACAGGTACATTGTAACAAATCATTATTTTCAATGTAAGTACATATTAGTTAAGGCCACCTAATATAAAATAGGACCCAATTTACAGTGTGCTATATTACTTTTGATTAATAATGATCCCAATTTTAGCAAATTCTATGACATTGCAGAGAGCTAAATGTCTTCATTTTTCAGAGTACAAACATCATAAAACCCTAAAAGAGTCAAATGACCAAACTGCAAGATTAATGTTGGTGCTGGAAATCCTTGAAAATGCTTGAATTTTAATCTAGTGTTTTCAAGACTTTGGATGATGTCTTTATAACTGCTTGATAATGTAATAGTGTTGCTTACAAAATAATTTATCTAACTAAATAAGTAATAATTAACTTTAAAATAAGTAATTCAAGAAGTTTCAGTAATTCACTAAGTAATTCAATGTTGGGGTTGGGGCAAACATGATATCAAAAACTGTCCTTGAAATACTATATCCTCTCATATGATATAATGTAATAAAGTATGTATCTGTATGTAAATATGTAATTTACCACACTTGTAAAGTGCTGGAAAAATGTAAAAATGCAGATGAAAAGTTCCTGAAAAACTTAAATTTGACTTTAGAAAAGGTGTAAGAACCCTGAAACTGACATATGCAATGCCCTACACATATTTAAGGATCAGATTCTGCTAAATGTTTCATTTTTTCAGACTCATAAAACTTCATATTCACATCTAGGTTTAAATACAAAGATGTATATTTTGGTCTTGTATTTAAAGAGCTTAACTGTATGTTATATGATGCATTATGAAACTGTTATGTGTCCTATAGTAATAAACAACAATAATCTACATTTACCTGCATAATGCACATTAGATATTCCAGTTCTCCAAATAACATGCACTGCAGTTAAAATCTTAATTACAAGAGCGCATTATAGAGATATTGTTTACCCCTCTAGAGGGAGCCAATGTAGATTTAATGCCCGCTGGACAAACAAAATGACCTGCATGTTTTCCACTTGTGCATACTAAATATGTGTAACCTGTGCAAAACAATGCACCATTATTTAGTGCATTCAAGGTTAATAATATTATTTACAACTACATTTTTTTTTAGCTTTGTCAACAGGATTTGTGTCTTTCTTATTCTCACGCTCCAAGTACAGCAGTCTCATTTTTGTGACAAATCTTCGCAGGAAGTTGACGTTAAACCTTTTATACTACATATCCTGCATTTGAAGATTTTTCAGGCTCCCAACAGAGGTTGTGACACAACTGAAGGGAATCCCAGCTTCAGAACGATGAACTAACCTCCAAACGCAGGCCTCATAGTGAAGTCATGATCATCCACTTTCAGCAGCTGCTCTGTTTTCAGTCGTCGGGATTTCGTCACATCCGGTGGCTTCTTCGCCAGCGACCTGCATGAATTCAAAGTCACAAAAACACTCCGATCAGCCTCTTATATCATGAGTTTGGACAGACACACTATTATTATGTGAAAACTAGCAGAGGTTACATAGAGAGAGAGAAAAAAAAGCAGCATGAACCCTCAAAGTCAATGACGTTTACATAATTTCTGTGAAAAAGCTGCCGCAAAAGTGTAATGACGGATTAAGATCATGCACGCCGCTCGTATCAACAAATTGTTAAGGCAGCGGTGAACTAGCAGCAGCCGGATCTGTTTCAAATGACAGGAAATCTTATCGACAGTGGATTTCACAAAGGCTGCTTGTTCCAGTCAAACAATGAACATAATTAACTCTATAAGTAGTGATGTTATAATCAGTGACAGCAATGAGTAGTCGATTGCCTCACTCCTCACAGCTTCTTGCCATTTGTAATTTCTTTCCTGTAGCGAGTATAAAACAGAAGGCAGCTTGCCATGACTGGCACCCTGTCTGCTCCGATACTGCTGGATGCAAATTTGCTGGCTTTTAGCACTCTAACAACATGGTAATTCTGAAGACGCCGGTTTGTTGTTTGTTTTAATTTCATAGACCCATGAGGCCGTGTACTCATGTCAGCATAGCTTTGTGCCAATGTACTGTCCCCGGCAGATGGGGGAAACGTGCTTGTGACACGTGGCTGTTTGTCTGAGTAAAGAAGCACCAGTTGGAGAGCACGCCAGTGATACGTGTTCGGTTCAGTGGCGGTTTCATTTGTCTGGGTCACGATAATTGCGCCCCGGCCCCTGGCCTCATTTATGGCCCTCTGCTGTCATATAGAAATCAGGCTAATAAAGGTGGTCGAAAAAATTGAGTCTGGGAGAGACATCTGTGGATGAGTGCACGCCATCACCTCAGTTCTTGTGCAACGTTTTCAGAATCAGAAATGGACTTGTACTCAGTCATTATATGATACAGTATATATGATTTATGATATTAACCTAACATCACCGGCTGCAAACCATGTCAACGCCATGGTTGATTAACAAAAGTTATTCTTTACAAACAAGTTTTACAGCCAGGCATTTTCAATTAATTTCTGCTGCTTTCAATAGTTTTCAAAGCTAGCCTTCGTCCATTAAATTCATACAGAATGCCTGTCAAAATACATTGAATTTAATTCATAACTCCAAGGCTAATTTTAATAATGATTTAGTGTGACAACTTGATTAAGGCATTCATGGACTGTCAGAAGGAAACAGCACTTCATGTGACAAGTGCAGCAAAATTTGACAACCATGCATGCATTTTAGGGCTAATTTCTATAATTTTGCATGTCAGTTTGCTATAAATATATTTATATTTACCTAAAATGCAAAGTTAGCTCTTCCCCATACACTGAAAAAAATTATTTAAAGATTATTCTTTGGATTTACTTTTTGTTTTTGAAAGTAAAGTGGCTGTAAACAGTTTATTTGGGCTGAGTTTAGACAAATAAATTAAGTTAAACATGACTAAATATACTTTGTTTGTTTAAATTCAACACATTTAAATAGTATACAACAGTTTTGCAGACATCTTTTTCTTCAGTGTAAGGTTCATGCAATATATGGGTCACAGTGCTTGGAATTTATTGCATAATCACTACTTTAAGATTAATTTTATATGTAACTTCGAGGTATTCCTGGATTTTCAGATTAAATGAGCATGTGATAAACAGCAAAAGATTTATTGTAGAGATCATTTCTATAATTATATTAAAAACTATTTAAAATGGTTGATGTATTAAAAAATATCTGATATAATTCAAAGCTACCTGCTATGTGCGTCAACATCCAAATAATTACATGCAATAACACTACTTAAAGACTAATTTTAATTATACGATCCTTTATAGTGTGACTTCTTGATTAAGGCATTCCTGGATTTCATATCCAGAGACCACGTGACATAACAAAAACTGAACACCAGACAATTTTGGGTTGTTTTTTGCAAATGTGCATATCATGGTTTACAATTGTTTAATTGGTGTAAAAATGCACAATTTTAAGTTAAAGCCAGTTTCATACTGTACAATAATGTGGTACAGAAATAGATGCATAATCTGTAGACTGTAACACTGCATTACACCCTTTAATAAGCATCTTAACAGTCTGGTTGACATTTCTCCTCATGGTTTTCATTACAGCTAAAACAAAACAAAATGCAAAATGTCAGACGTCAGAAACAAAGTTTATCCAAAGAAACTGTTCAAAATAAAATCTTGTAAGTTAAAGGGTTAATACACTACTTGACAGAAGCATTGTCAGTTGAAAATCAGTGAATAAAGCAAAAATCCACAACCAGACTGACATTCAATTTCTCTTTTTATCTCAGTTTGAAAGAATAAATTAGTTTTTGTTGTTAAAAACACATAAGTTATCAATTAACTCTAAAATGCAAAGCTAGCTTTTCCATATAAAACTCAATGTTTGGGTCAAAATGCAAAGAAGTGGATGCATAATCTAAAACTAAGACTACTTTTAGTTATAAACAAGGGTGTAGAACTTGATTGAAACATATTCCTGCAATGTCAGGTGAAAAGATCATTTTATGTGGCAAACAGCAAAACAATAAATAAATAAATAATAAATAAAACAAAGGCAGACATATTTTACAATTACTTTGTATTGCATATCTGAATTATATTAGATCTTTATTATAATTAAATAGACAGTAGCTATTTACTCTCTCTGCTCTCTAAATATTGGTGGTTAACAGTTAAATCCAGTGAGTTTAACTTACTAAAAACGTTCCCCCATCACGCATTAAAGTAGAAATGCAAGTTAAAACAAAATCTCTGAATTTTTGTTACACAACAAAGATGTTTTGAACTTGCTGACAGGCACCTTCAATCATCTTCATTGCCATTACTGCTTCACTAAACACATTGACGCATCAGCATCTTATTCCATCCCCATCAACAACAATGCACAGGTAAGCTATATGTCATCATGCACGAGATGTCAATGCAAGTTCAGCTGTCAAAGACTGATCTGCCACTTACGTCCCATGCTTCTGAGTTTCCACAGCTCCCGTCCACCTCCTCTCTCTCGTGGCGTGTTTATTCCGGCATTCCCCAAACGAGCCCAGGAAGAGCACTAAAATCAGGAGCTGTCTCGCATAAGGCATCATGCAGAGCCGGTGGAAAATCTACAGGTGCGTCCTGAAATCCTGCTTAATCCATGAACGCGGTGGCGGCGGCGGCTCGGGAAGGGCAGCATCTTTCCGTCGTCGGCGCACAAATCGCTGCAGCTCGCATCTCTGGCATGCGCGATGTGTGGATGGTTTAAATATCAGCGCGACGCGACGCGTGCTGCAGCCCCGCGCGGCGCCTGCTGCCTGTCATTGGTTATCAGCCGCACAGCTGCTCTGACCACATGGCATCGGCAGTGGGCATACGCGCGTTCTCCACAGCTGTCTGTGTAGGGTTGGAGGAAAAGAAGGATTAGAAAAGCACATATGACCCGAAAAAGCTCTGCTTCAGGGACTATGCATGCTTTCAATCTAATGCATGAGTGAAATGCATCCGCAAATGCCAAAACATCATCTAAAGTGATCGACGGAATCCCTTTGGCTCGTGGGATCAATGCGACGCAGTTCTGGAAGTTCAGCTCCCTTATCATAAAATAGTACTCTGGCTGCATATTACATAATCTTTCTTGCCTAGTCTTTTTTTGATAGCTACTTTATCTAAGCCAAAAAATAAAAAGTTTATTTTGTGACTTAAAAGGTACGTTTCAAAATATGCGCTCATACTTAAAATTAAATCGAGTTTATGTCGACCAAAACATAAACAATCAGGGGAAAATGTTGGTATTATTGCTTCCGGTAATTAAGCCAACAATATAGTCAGTTATTTGAAAATATTGTTGCTATAATAATATATTATTCATTCATTCATTCTTTCTTTCATTTTCTTTTCAGCTTAGTCCCTTTATTAATCTGGGGTCGCCACAGCGGAATGAACCACCAACTTTTCCAGCATATGTTTTACCCAGCGGATGCCCTTCCAGCTGCAACCCATCTCTGGGAAACCTCCACACTCATACACTATGGACAATTTAGCCTACCCAATTCACCTGTACCGCATGTCTTTGGACTGTAGGGGAAACGGGAGCACCCGGAGGACTCCATACAGAAACGGCAACTGACCCAGCTGAGACTCAAACCAGCGACCTTCTTGCTGTGAGGCGACAGCACTACCTACTGTGCCACCGCGTCACCAAAATATTTTATATATTGTAATATAGGTACAATCGTTTGCGATTTGTTAATTTTCCTTCAGGGCTAAGACCCTAAATTATCAGGGGTCACCACAGTGAAATGAACCGCCTGTTCGTCAGAAGTAAAACTATTATCTTTTTTTTTTATTATTATTGGTCATTTGAATCTGTCCTGAGGTAAACATCTCAATATTACGCAAATAACGAAAAAAGAAGCCACTAAGTGTCGTTTTCAAATGAAGCCTTAGGAAATTAATCATGCTTCACTACAAAAACAAATTTCACCCCACCGGAATCACAAATTAACTATGGTTTGAGCAAAATTTGAGCTACACACTCAAAACATTACTGCTTGTTCATTCCTTCATTCATTTTCGGCTTAGTCCCTTTATTAATCTGGGGTCACCACAGCGGAATGAACCGCCAACTTATCCAGCATATGCGGATGCCCAGCGGATGCCCTTGCAGCTGCAACCTGTCTCTGGGAAACATCCATACACACTCATTCACACTCATACACTATAGGAACAATTTAGCCTACCCAATTTACCTGTACGGCATGTCTTTGGACTGTGGGGGAAACCGGAGCACCCGGAGAATACCCACCCGAATGCGAAGAGAACATGCAAACGCCACACTGAAACGCCAACTGACCCAACCGAGGCTCGAACCAGCAACCTTCTTGCTAAGAGGCAACAGCACTACCTACTGCGCCACCGCTTCGCCCACTGCTTGTTTAAACTACTTATTTAAAAATTAGTTGAAACAACCGTTCTTTTTGCTTGGTTTTTTGTTTTATGTTAAATCAACTTAAAGTTGTAAATGTAAAGTGTATAGTGCATTTATCATGCATGGCCATACACCCAAAGCACTTCACAATCATGAGGCAGGTAGGGGGGGAGCTGAGGTCTCTCCACACCTCCACCAGTGTGCAGCCTCCACCTGGATGATGCGGCAGCAGCCACAGGACAACGGCGCCAGTGCGCTCACCACACACCAACTATTGTGATAAAGTTAATTTTGTGGATGGGGATGATTGGGGGGCCATGATGGGTGAGATTACTCCCCTACTCTTCACGAGAAGTGCCATGAGATTTTTAATGATCCCAGAGAGTCAGGACCTAGCTTTTAACTTCTCATCCGAAAGACAGCGCTTGCTGAGAGTATAATGTTCCCTTCACTTTACTGGGGCATTAGAACTCACAGAGACCACAGGTTGAGCGTAACCCTACTGGCCTTAATTACATCACCTCCAACAGCAACCTAGTTCCATTGTAGTCTCCCATCCAGGTACTGACCAGGCTCAGCTCTGCTTAACTTCAGTGGATAACCTTGGGCTTGCAGGGTGATATGGCTGTGGCAAAACCTAATTACCTAATTTCTGTTACGACAACATGAATGAATTGTGTGGGACCCAGTATTTTTTCCAGTGCAGTAGTACAGGGGCGCCCCCAAGGGGTGGCCAGGGGTGGCCACGGCCACCCCACGGTAAACTCTGGCCACCCCTGTGGCCACCCCAATATAATTTTGCTGTTGACATTATTGATTTAAAATGTGCTTATAAATTCCCAATATTTAAATAAATAAATAAATAAAATGCAGCCACTAAATTATTGTTGGTGTTAATGACGTAGCTCTCCCCCTCTGGTTCAATGCTGGTGAAAGCAAACTGACGCATGCGCGTAGAAAACCATTCCCGCACGCACTCCTGTGTGAATCCCGGTTGGTTGTTTCCATGCACGCCAATAAAATAGGCGCCGCTCATGTGCCGTGAAACCGGAGTAACAGCCCTTTGTGCAGAGGTGTCGGCACGCAGCGAGTTTTAAAAGTCGACTAAAGTTTATATAATATGATGATTATGATGATGATGATGATGTTACTTTCACTAAGCATGGCTTTAAAGCAGAAAGGATGGATAATGAGTCAGGGAGGTAAGACTTCATAACATGATTTCTCAGCCATGATCTGGTCTAAGACCACAGATAATTCTTTAGAATTGTCATAATTAATTTTCATGCAAAAGGTTTCTTAAGTGATCTTGGCATATCACTCCAGTTGTTTTCCAGTAATATTTGGGATTGATTTCTTTTTTATTATTTAGAATAATAATTGTGTAATAATGTTAATATTAATTGTATTTATTTAGAATAAATATAAATAAATTGTTATGTTTATTAAATAACAAATCTGACAATTTAAGAGAGGTGGGGTGTATAGGGTGGTTTGCCAGGGTGTCATTTAAACTAGAACCGCCACTACCCTCCCCGATCGTCGTTGACAGCATGAACACACCTTCAATAGACAGCAAAGGCAATTTAATATTTACCTTAAGGTACAGTATATCAATAGAAGAAGTTGCATTAATAAAATGGCTCAAAATAGTGAGTGCGTATAGTAATGCCTTTTGTTCAGTTCAGGGTCACCACAGCGGAATGAATCGACAACTTATCTAGCATATTTTTACACAGCGGATGGCCTTCCAGCTGCAACCCATCACTGGGAATAATAAACTCATTAATCTTCATTAATTTTAGACATGGCATATACCGTATGATGTACAATAAAAGCACGTAAAAAAAAGTTATTTATACAGTATATATATATATATATATATATATATATATATATATATATATATATATATATATATATATATATATATAAGTGTTTTTAAACTAAACATAGATTTTTATTTGGTTTGACCATGTACTTCAAGGAATAAATTGCAATATTTCAAGAAGAATTAATTAAATGAATAAAAACTACATTATTTCATTTACCAGAAACAAAAATATAACATTACACTGAATTCATAATTTTTTTAGTGTGCCACCCCAAGATTTGGTGCGGCCTCTTCTGGCCACCCCTAAGAAAATTTTCTGGGGGCGCCACTGCAGTAGTATAACATGGGATTTGTGGTTAAACTGTGGTTATACAAATGGTATACAAGCATGTTAACACTATTTTATATATTTATTCATTTATTTATTCACTTTAAATTTTTGTAATTTACCCAGATCGATATGGGAGTTTTGCATTGCAGATTTTAATTTACTTCATAGTTATATGTGGACAACTCAAACACTATTTACCTCAAAGATACATTTTGAAGCTTAATTTTTTTTTTTTTTTACGTAGGCCTGAATTGCTAGCAGGTAACTGCAGGCTATATGTTTTTACAATCCCTTTGGAAGTTGTAGCCCTTATTTAGCAACATGCATAACAAAGTTTTATCAAGTAAAATTAACCACAGACCTTATTTTACTCACAAATCCAAAACCTCTGTTCTAAAAATACATAAAAACAATCCCAGGGGAGGCCATGGCTTGAAAATGCTTAGTCTGTTCCGGATTTTAGGACTACAGACAGAACAGCTCTTATTTGGATGGAAATTATTCTTCCAAGTTAAATGGATGGGAAGAAAATCATGAAAAGATTGGTATAACTTCCACTGATATAATCAGGTCCCTTGTTTCAACTGCTTAAAGATTTGTAATATCATAAACATTATATAAACCATTCAATGAATTGAATTTCTTTTATTCTAACAAGAACAACAAAGAGCTATTTATATAATGATCTAATAAACTCTGACAGGAACAACTCAGAGATTGAAAAGGAATCAAACCATCATAGTCAACCTCTTTTCCCACTGTTTCTTCTATTTGTAATTTATTTCCTGTTGAGAGAACATCAGACAGAAGGCAGTTTGCCACGACTGGCACCCTACAGTAATACGGCTGGATTTTCTTTTCTTAATTTGCATGCTCTTTGCATTCACAACAAGACAAACTGCCTCCTCTCAGAGATGGCCGCAATTCCAAACGTTTCTCTTTGAATGCTAATGATGCAGATTTGTAATGACAAATTTGACACACTACACGTGAATTATGTTAGGAATAATTAATAACACGAATGCTCCCATGCATATTTGGAACACAATGTTGTATAATGTATTAATAATGCATTAGTAAATATTTAAAGTACATCTATTTAATATAAAAGCAATGGTAAAAATTGGAATACAATCAAAAATTACATTGCTTGTTTATTTATTTTTTTTTGTTCGCTCAATAATCTTTACAATAATTTCACTAAATATTTTATATTAAACTCGCTAAACTTTGCATTCCCAGAGACACATTGCATTCACACTCAAATCATTAGCATTCCCTCAAGAAACTTTGACTTTGCAAACAAACT